CCACGTTCCCAACCCTGCACAAAACAATCCCCAGTGATTCCTCCTGCTCCCCCAAATTAGGGTATTTTCCCTGGGGTCTGTTGTCTGGGTGTCAGTTTTTCCAAGTTGAGGCTGTGCCAGCTTTTCACTTCCTTTTATTTTCTCAGACACAAACTCAGGCTTTGTCTGTGGGAAGCTTTGTCTAATAAAAGCACCTGGTGAAGATACTAGTTTTCCTAGGCCTGCAGGCTAGGTCTCAGGCTGATGGTAGCCATCACACCTGATGAAATCACTAGGCATTTAAACCCATGTCTGCTGCTGCCAGTGGCAGCTGACAGGAGGGTTGCAATATCAAGGTAAACAATATCAAATTATAACAAATTAATAATGTATAAAAACTGACCAAAGATTGAGGTACCATGTCTGATGCACATAGTCGGTCCCACTTCCATGAAAGGCAGCCTACACTGACCAGAAATCTTGACCTCTTCTGTTCCCTACCACCCATTTTACTTCTGTTCATGCAGGTATTTGGGTTCATTCCTCTGCTTCTCACACTGTGGTGCAAGAGGTTGGTCCTGGCTCTTGCTCAGTTGAGTGTGCTGCCACTGCAGTCTCCTCATCTTTGCTGAGGTTAGAGCCAGAGAGCTAGTCTTCACCATCTGAGCATTTCAGTCCTGCATGGAGAGCATGGACACACACCTGCCTGTGCTGCTTTAGTCACTGGTGTTCAAAACCCTCCTTCAGTTCCCGGGTCATCCGGGAGCAGTGTCAGTGCAGAAGAGGTGCGAGGGTGGGTCAGAGAAAAGTTCTTTGGTTTCTGGTAACTTGATGCTGGCTGAGTTCCTGTCAGAGCCCATGGGTCTTTTATCACAGCCTAATGGTTGGGCAGAATCTGCCACTGGAATTGTCTGATGGGAAACTGAGGCCAGAGGTGAATTTGTGACCAACGACCAAATCAACTCATCAGGGCCACAGCGGTGGAAGTGCATAAGTTGCATACTAAGAAAGATGACAAAATGCTGTGTGTAAGGAAGATATTCTGCCTTAGCCTCTCCTGAGGATCATCACAAATTTAACTCCCCAGTGTAAGTTCAAGGAGGCAATTAATTTTGTGATGAGAAATGCAGAGATTTGATTTGATGCTGGAGAGCCCAACACCAGCGAGCTGGTGACTTGCAAGAAACACCCCCTTAGCAGCAGAGCCTGACATGGCTTCATAAAGAACTGAATTTCATTCTAAACAGATATATTTGTTTTGGAAAGGTGTCTGTAAAGCTGAACGTGGTGCAAATATGCTGCTGGCAGTGAATTTCCTGGCAGAGTCCCTCTTGGCATGCAGCAAAGTTACTAGTCCAGTCCCGTTGTTCACGCTGGGCCTGAATCACCAGCGTGTTGCTGCAGCTTTGTGCTGGCACCATTCCAGACAAATGGGCGAGCAGCTCCGGAGAGCCCCTGAGCCATGCCGTGGTCCCGCCTGCATGGCGAGGCCAGTGGCAAGGCTGCCCGCCAGTGGCTGGCTCTGGGCAGGAATGCCCCCCCTCTCTGCTTCAGGATCCTCTCGGTGCCCTTTGTCACCTGCCCACCCGTGCCTTGTTCTCTCTCCTGGTCCTACATCTGGCTGGGGGGGGGGCAGGGAGCAGCCCAGTGGAAGCGATGAGCGGCTTCTGTGCCTCCTGCGAACAGTCAGGACTGTGTCCCAGCTGTGTTAGAGCTGTGATGACAGGGATGCTATGGGGGAAACTGGTGGGAGAGGCACAAAATCCCAGCGAGGTTTGCATCTGTTACTCAAGGTGAGTAGTGCCCTACTTTATTGGAGAAGAGAGTGAAGTGGCTTAGAGTCAGATGTATGCATTGTATATACAGGCAAAGAATTATTTTGAAGCTAAGACCCTCAGCGAGGACTTGAAACAACAGGATTTGGTTCCTACCACTGTCACAACTCTCATGTGTCGCCAGACAGTGTTATTTCTCCTGGTTCCAGTTCCTTCCTTGTGGAATGAGACTCTTCATCTTCCTTCTCCCACCCTTTGTTGTTCCTGCCTATTTAAACTGCAAGCACCTTAGGCCAAGTGGTGTTTCTCATAAAGTGTACGTACAGTCCATACGAATAAAAATGGAAACTTAGGACTCCTGTAAAACTGACAAGTCCCAGTAAGGAACCTGCTCACCCTGCAGGCTCTGTCTACCAAGTGGCAGAATATGTGGTCAGTGCTTTAAGAGGTATTAATCTGATGTCTCCTTGTACCCTCAGTCTCTTTGACCCCCTGTGCTGCCAGACATCCATGGCTACAGCAAGTCTCCCTAATCGCCAGCTGCTGGCAAATACACAACTAGTCACCAGCCACTTTTACAGCGTGCCAGACACGTAGTGGAATATGTGCTCCTCTCAACCCATCTGCACAACAGGCTACAGATGCCAGCTGCTTTCCTTGGAGTGACATGGACAAGAGAGAAAGAAGGGAAAAGGAGAAAACAGAGTAACTCAAAACCATTTTCTCCACAGTTCTTTTAACTAATATCCCTCTTGCCTGCATACTATTGTCTTGTTGTTGCCCCAATTTTTCTCTCCTTTTCATTTTTCCATTGACTAATTAGGCTATCATTGTGTTAATGAAGTTAATGAATATTTATCTTGTGACAATAAAATATGAGATGCTCCCAGAGTGTCTCCATCCTGGTATTTCAGAATATAGGACTTTTATTCAACAAGTCTCCTACTTGATGGTTTACATCAATTGAATACACCGACAAGAGCCCCCGGTCTGAGAACCCCTCAGTGTAATTCAACTTTCCTTCACAAAGAAAACAGACACTGTCCTTTTCCTTGGGAATATTCCTGACTTTAAAAAGGGTAAGATACAAAAGCACTGGGGATAATAAGTTTAACCTTGTTCTCCTTTATACTTTCGCGACACTGCTCTGACTCCGCTGACCATGATGAAAGAACTCCCGGTTGATGCTGGCCGGCAGCAGTTGAAATGGAAGTTGGGTCGTCTGAGATGAAATCTAGCTGGTCTACAGCAGGTACACATGAAAATGCAAATATGAAAGTTCTGAGGCATGCTGGTATGGCAAACTGTTGTGAATGAGGCTACTAGGGAAGTAGCTGGTCATCATGTTGCAACAATATCAACAGAGCAATGATGTCACCATGACTCTTGTGCAGGATCATACATATTTTGTGTCAATATTTTGGGAAGAATATTTACTACTTAAAATTTTTATCCTCATGGTGCAAAACTACATGCAAATCATCTTCTTTTTAAATAAACGTAGCTGGGTATGATTTTGCACACGAAGGCACGTGAGCATGGCTATATCACCTGAATAAATGCCAGCTCAATGGGATTGAATTAATAATACAAAAGAAAGTGCATTGGACCACTTGGATATAGGAAAAAAGAGGCAAGAGATCCTCACTGTGTGCAAATTTTCCCTTTGAAACCAAAATGAATGAAAGCAAGCAAAGGCTAATCGTTCTATGTGCCCTCAGATGAAAGGTGGTTGATGAAGACAAAAAATCATTCAGGGAGCCTGATTTTTTTAGCACACAAATTTTTTGTGAAATACTGAATTCGGTCAGCATCTACCACATCAAACTCCTCAGTTTATCTGGGAGCCCTACAGACCCTCCCTGCATGTGTAATGAATAAATAAAGATTGTGAACAGCAGAAGCCACATTTCTTCTGAGTGAAGTCTGTCTGCACAGACACACCATATGAATGAAACCATTTTCAATTCACAACTCTTATTAATTTGGTGACAGAGGGGGAGAACACAAGACTGGTGGGTACAATGAGCTAATTGGATAAAAGGCATGTGAAAACACTATACCTATAATGTACCTTGTTAGCATATGCAAATGAGATAATTATACAGGCTGATAGCAGTTAGGCACAGTAATACATAGTCCATGTGAACTGTCCACAAATACTTCTGAGATCAAGAAATGAAAGTAAATTCTTTAAACATCCTAATTGGCTGCCAAAAGGAAATTCATTCCAGCTAGAACTTAATTCAGTGTAAAGTAACGTAACTCATTTGATCTCAATGAAGATCAAAAAAACACAACCATATCCAGACAATCTTGGATTAAGACGCATTGTTTGTATATATTTACTACATAAAGTTATTATGCAAAAACACCCTAAATGAGATGAAGGCTCTGTGAAATCATTCATTACTATTTCTCATGTGTTATTAGTGAGCTGAAGACTGTCCTGTTCATGCAAGGGGACACCAGATCTTCCTAAAATCCAAGACTGCATGCAGGATTTCTACAAGTCAAATGGATAGTCAGATGTTTCTCATTCCCTCAATTGCACTCAGTGATTTTGCACTTCAAATTTAGGCCAGCTTCTCACCTTTCAAACTATTAATGTACCTCAGAGACATTTTCTAGGGAATTATTCAGGTAGACAACATTTTTTCTACTTGATTTGCTATGAAATGACAAGCACTGTTAAACCAAAGGTTAATCATTGATTAAGTTTAATGACACTAAAAGAAACAGGTCATGTGAGAAAGCAATTGCACTTTCATTTTTGCTGTCACAGGTCATTTATAGCTTTTGATTCAAATTCCACCCCACGCAAAGAGTTGCTAACAACATCCTACTTCAAATTCTAATGTACTACAACCGCACAGCAAGCATGTGAGCTGGCAGTAATCAGGCCATTTGTAAAGCATACACAGATTCTTTCATTCATCCTGGCCATTAAACTGTTTGAAAAGATTATTTTATTGTTCCACATTAAAAGGCAGTGCTTTTGACAACTTGTTTTACAGAGAAGTGCCCCATTTTATTTGTACGCAAGACTGTTCTGCCACTTTTGTGCATTTACGAACCTCAAACTCAACAACACCTGCAGTTCTTCCCTCTCTGGTATGGACTCAAAACAAAAACAAAAACAAAAACAAAACAAAACAAAACAAAACAAAAAAAAAAAAAAAAAATAAAAGAAAGGAAACGAGATTGAAAAGAGAGCATTTATTTTCTCTGTGACCAATAGCTCTTGTGCCTCAAACTACACGAGGAGCTGAAAAGTCAACTGTAAGTCTCTATGATTCTTTCAAGGATGGCTGCATCAGCAGGGAGCTGCTCATAGCAGTAATAGAGCTTGCTTCTGATCTCATCCTCCTTTGTACCGTGGCATATCCATTTGTTTCCAGGATGTGACTCTTCCTTTACACCAGCATCAAGCAGATCAGAATCAAATCTTCCACCTGCTGAGGGAGAGTTAATGGGCATTGTTAATCCAATATGCATCTATGCTTTGGCCTACTAGCCAAAATAATTAGCCCTCTAACAAAGAAAGGAGCCTTTGAAAACTTAGACACAGGCAGGAAATAAGCAATAGAAGTAGATCATGAGGCTTATAAGTCTATATAAAGCCTCTGTAAGCTTCCTTTTCTTCCTTTTCATCCATGTATTATGAAAAAGAAGGGCCTACTGCCCTAAGCTTTTGGGCATTCACATCAGGACCCACATATTTTATGCACAAATGTCAAAGAATTTTCAAAACTTACCTTGTTTGAAAGAAAAAAACACAAAGACAGTGATATGGGTTTGACCTAAAAAGTCAGGGTTTCTGTTACAAAGAGCACTTACAGGAAAAGAGGAACTGTGATTTCATAAAACTAATGGTGGAACAAAAGAGATGAGATGATTGTCTCTATTTGTAGGTTGTACATGAATTCAGGGATGAGTCTGGGTCTTTGGTACTAGACCACTGCCAGATTCAAAGCTGTGGAGAACAGCTTGTCTCTGAAGCATAGCACTGTATCTTCATGCAGTGGGCAAACCACTCTAGGTGTGATTTGATGAAAATGGGCTGTTGGTATAGATCAATTCCAGAGTGCTACTAGAGCTGATATCAAGAAATTGGCTTTAAAATGGTAGTAGAACTGATTCAACAAAAGGAATGCCTTGAAGAATTAATATATTTCTCTTTTCAAACAATGCAGCGAGCATTGTTCAAATGCATAAAACATGAAGAGAGCTCTAGTTCTGCAATATTGACATGATTTCTTTTCCTTTAAATCTAATTCAGGAATGATAATAAAAAAGTCTGCAGTAAAAATTCTCATTTTCAGTGCTGCAGCGTTGGAGCACTGCCATGGGCTTTTTGAAGAGTCACTCCACATCCACATCTATTTTCACCCTTTCAACCCAATTCTGTATTGTTACTGCTGAGTGGTGGAGCTGCCTTTGAAAACGTACAAAGCAGGTGATTTTCAATTGTGTAAAGCCGTGTTTGGCTTTAGGCATTTGAGTTCATGGGAATAGCCTTTCAAAGTGCTTGGTCCAAAGCATAGTGAAGTCAATGGAAAATCTCCAGGTGACTTCACTGGGCCTTGGATCCAGTCCAAACTCTGGAGCCTCGAAGTCTGGAAGTCTCAACTGGACTTGAAGTTATTCCTAATTGTTCAAAAACAGAATAAGAATTTTGCAAGGTCAACCTCCTCCACACACGCTGTGTCCTCTTTTGCAATGACTTGAGAGTCTCCTCCCTGGCTGCAGGCATTCAGCACCTCGCAAAATTAACTCTCATCTTAGGATAAACCTTCTTAGAATAGTCACAGCAGTAGATGTGCAGTGGATTCATTACATTGTCTCAATCCTTCTCTGCCAAAAATTGGTCAAGCTGTACAGTTTACTCATCTTTAACCACAAGTTGTGGTTGCGGCTCATCTGCTGAATTTAGAAAGCCACATGGAAATTCACTTCTAGGAGACTATTCCCTCCAGGAAATCAGCTAAGAAAAATAAATAAATAAAAACAAAAATACAATATTTTAAATTAAAAGTGTGATCTGATCTCTGAAACAATTTTTTATCCATTAAGTTCCCACCCAAGGAATCAGTTATATGCGTGCTTCAAGTAACTATATTGTTTAAAGAAACTGTACGTGTCACACAGTTAAAAAGAGAGAGATGCAGCTAGATTTAGTTAAACAATTGACTAATAACTCAATCAACAATATTTTTATCCTAGGTAGTAGTTATCAGCTTAGACAGCTGTTACAGTCTTTCACTGTAATACTTAAAAGGCAAACCACCAAATTCAATACCATATTGTTTGTGTAGTAGTGTTTGTTTAAAGGTAAATCACTCATAAAAGTGTAATTTCCTGCTGATACATAATGGCGGATAGCGGCAGGAAGCCAGCCCGAGCAGACTGAGACTCCGAGATATGCAGTGCTAAATCGCCAGCAGTACTTTACCCCAGCTCTAAAATGATTGTGTTTTTACACCCAGTCACACCTAAATTAGCACCAGCATATTAGGCCTTCTTGCAGACGCCCCTTTTCTCTTTATGCAACAGCACAAGATAAGAAAAAGTACTACAATTGACACAATGAAGTCGTGTTTCTCCAAATAACGATTCCCTTCCTGCTGGGGAGACCCTGCTGGGCAAAATTCCCTCCCCAGTCTGTTTTTCTTGTTTATTTGTTACAGAATCATACTTGCGTTTTGGGTTTCCTTCTGCTTGCTTTCAGCTGACACGTTAACTCATACGATTTCATCATTTTTGAAACTGCTAATTGAAGCTCCCACATTCATAGTGTTTCATTCACTGGCTTCCGAGTGTCAGCAGAATAGACAGAGAGCAACTGCCACTGGCTTTGGAAGAGCTGCTCTAGATTCATGTCAATGAACCAAAACCCCAATTAACTTGTAAGCATGTACTAACTCTTCACTCAGCGGCCCCTCAACCTACATAGGGGCTGGCAGTATGAAAGCGATGGGGATGCTCCCAGGGATTAAGCCTGAGACACTGACACTATATCCAGCATAGGAAACATGCCCCAAGAGGAATCACCTATTGTTTCCATCTTGGCCCTTTTTGCTGGATGCTTTTTGCCCAAATTGATGTGCCTAAATCTCAGGCTGCTGAGTCCAAGCCAGCTCTCTATGTGATACATTTTAAATTATAATCAATGAAAAGAGAGGCAGAAGGCAATTCATGCTGCGCACTCTATGCACCTTTTCTGAATCAGCATCCATCTCTCAGATGGTCCCTAGTTCCCAGGCAGGTGGTTCCGTATTTTACTTTCCTGCATTGCTCTAAAGAGCTATCCCAGGATGTCATCAATGTGTTTCGATGGCCTGATGCCAGAGCACTCCCCATGTGCGAAGAGAATGTAGTGGATAAAATCTTATAACCTATAGCTCAAGCCCATGCAGAGCAGGGAGGAAAGGACTCGTGCTGCATCTCTCACCCTTTCTCTACCAAGAGCCTAATTGCTCAGCCAGTTTAAGAGAAGAGCAACTTGTGCCCTCTGCTCTCTTACCCATCTGTACCTAAAAAATTGGACCCAGCCAGACCTGGATCTAAGCCAGAGTCTTCAGAGGAAGTTTTGATACAGTGAGGATGCTGAGCTTCATTTGGTAGGAAGGGCAGTTGCTGTGGAATTTGTACAGGGACTCTTGTTCTTTTTAACAGGACAGACTTCTGATATGTATATATGTATTTTTTACAGAATTCCCTTTAGCAGTCCACAGAAGGGAAATAGGAGTCCTGCAAAGATCACAGAAAAGTGAACTACACTGCTAAACTTAAAATCATAAAGCATTAATAGAAGGCTAAGCTGGAAATCAGTTCCATCTTCCTCCATCTGCCAAGCTCTGCTTTCTCAGCAGCAAAGCATGTAGCTCAGGGAAATTCTCCCATCTTTCTCCATTAGGGCTTGATATTATCAGCTTTTTCCTGTCACATACAAAAAATTACCTTTAATTAGCTCAGTTTACAGCTACACTACCTAGCCTTGGAAACTTGTTTTGGGATATGAGGAACCACTTGTTTTCTCAAGTGTCTTATGAATCATTAGCAGCAATAAATACACCAAAGTCCTGCATCTCAGAAGGGCTGTATGGTAAAACTGAGGCCAGTGCTTAGTCCTGGAGATGGAGCTCCTTTGAGCAGGACATTCCTTGTGCACAGTCTCGCATCCAGTCCAGTTCAGCCATCACTGCCCCTAGGCTATTTCAGCACTGAGAGGAGCAAGAGCAAAAAGTTACCTTGCCTTCCTGTGTCAGCAAGTGTTACCCAAATTATGACCTAGATAGAAGACTTGCTTGCCTAAAAATCCTTTTTTTTTTTTTTTTTTTTTTTTTTATTCCCAGTTGTGTTTCTTTTAACACAAATGCATTTAGGAACACGTTTCCAGTGCAGTGTGAGCTGCTCACATTCCCTGAAGTTCATGTTGTTAGAAATGAAGGGGGATTCATTTCCTTATAAATTGGATTAAATCCTCTTGCAGGTTGCATAGTTCACAACTAAATATAGCATTTGTCAATGCTTTCCTTGCCTGGAGGAAGAGAAGATTGTCTATTAGTTTCCTTTTCATTAAACAGTTGCTAAAATAAAACATCTTTGTTTAATTGAATGCCTCTGCAGACTTAGTCAGGTGCAACTCCTGTTTCTTCAAACAAAAGGATAACAAAGGAAACATGTAACTGCCATATAACCTTGTCATTTGCTTTGAGGAGAGGAAGAGTTACACGCCAGTCATACGTTTCCTTCAGTGCTTCAAGGACAGAAGGAACAGCTGTCAGTCTGGGGGCAGCAGGATGCCTCGAGGAGGATCACACACCGTATAAAAGCAGAATAGGATTTGGAGTTAAATTGCAATCAGGAGGGGAATGGTTTGGAAAAGGCTATGAGGGACACAGTTTTGTCATGGCAATTCTCTCTGCTGGACCATCAGGTTTCTACTGTGGTATGTGGTTCCTCATCCAAAAAGTTCTCTTGAAGCCAAGTGAGACTTTACAATGATCCTGGAGTGAATGAAGATGCCATAATTTGGCATCACTTGTGCAAAATGGACCTCTTTGGTATGAGGATTGAGCTGCTTGCCTGAGTGAAGGGTTGGGTAAATGCCTGTCCTTTTTAAAATAAATTTGATCACTTATTATTGTTTGCAGCACAACCCTGACTGAGAACAAGACCTCTTCATACCTAGGGGCAGACCCTGACCCTTTAGACTTGCATTTGAAATCAGTGAGGGAGATGTGGTATGTCAAAGATAACAAAAACAGAAAGGAAAGAAAAAGGTTGTCAGAAACCACAGAAAAGATTAGTGGCAGTGCCTGAATGCTGATTTTAGGATGCTAATGATAGAAGGTAGGAATATGGGGAAATAATTAAGGAAATCTTCCAGGAGTTCATCATTTAGTTGGTGATAAAATTCAGAGTTTCTGAATAACGCAGAATGTTATTC